TAATTGGAGCTGCGGGGTTTGTAGACGTGCTGGGCTGAACAGACTTGTTAGATCTAAGAGAAAGCGTCGTACCCCTAAACGGAACTGTACTACCTATCTTTTGGGTCGGAGTCTGATTCAATTTTCGAGTCTCACCGGTCTGACGCCAAGCCATGGGTGACTTAGATGAAAACGGACTCGATATGATTAGTTAACATACGTATATCTACAAGCAAATGCTTTCTTATTCAGGCAGACCTTCGAACCCCGGATTTCTGCGTGAAAACACGTTGAAGATAACATGGAAACTGCGTATTTTATTATAACAGCGCATAGTGACATGTAATTTAACTTAAAGTTAAGGTAGTTATAAGGGCCACAAAGACTGCAGGCCGTTTAATGTATCGACCTTGTGCCAGCGATCGTGCCTTCTTCAAAAAAAATTTTGAACTGTTTGCCAGAAAACATATACTAACTACCGCTTACGGAGCCTAACTGAAACTGAAAATATGATAAACATTTTCTTGAAATGTCAGGGGATCAAATCATTGCAAACATTCTAGCAATTTTAATGTTTAGACGACCTACCGTACCGCACTTACAGTTCCATCCGTAAAGTTTAGAGCATTTTACTAGCTTATTTGTTAGCATTAATACAATTTTTGTGTGCTTTGCAGTTTTCAATATTTGTTCCTAAACTGTAGAAGTGAATCGTACTGTTTAGATGAAATACTTGAATTTCTCGGTCCGTAAATAGCTTTGATGGACCCATAGGTAAGCCTTGTACACAATTAGGCTCGATTCTGTGACGGTTTAAATTATGGGATGCGCTGGTTGAAGGCCCATGAACTTAAATTACAATCTCATGGAGTATGCAACACTTAACCAGACATTCCACCCACCGTAGTTATTTACAGCCGCTTGTGCTTCAGCATAGAAATAGTAATGCCTTCTAGAGCACTTATGACAGATATCATTGACGGATCTGATGTAGTCCGACGTAGGCATAGCTGAGCGTTGATGAAATAATTTCCTCACATACTACAACGGCAGTGGGTTAATGTGCCATAGCCAACCAGCGTACACTTCTAGAGGAAAGCGTATTATCGTCGTCGTCGTCGTCGTCGTCGTCATCATCATCATCATCATCATCATCATCATCATCATCATCATCATCATCATCATCATCATCATCATCATCAACAACAACAACAACAACAAAAACAACAACAACATTATCATCATCATCATCATCATCAGCATCAGCATCATCATCATTGTCATCATCATCGTCATTTTGATGGCACAAAGTCGACTGCCGTCAAGCAGTATGCTAAAATGCCTGAAAGGGGGAGAATACACTTGCAGTAATTGCTGAGTTTGCGCACAATTAAAGGATTAAGGGTTTCTGCGCAAACTTAGGTGCAGTCATTCAAGATGCCGCTGCGAAATGCCACTGAAATGTGAAACATCGCCTTAAAACTTCCATGGGCATTGTTACTGCCAGAATTAAGTTCTTGAAGGTGTTACGATAATGCATGTTGCGAAACATAAATGTGATCTTTGTACTAGATTTGGCTTTATTGTTTAGAGAGAAATGGATAACATGCGATTAATGATATTTTGCAAAATGATGATGAGAATGAGTTAGATCAAATGACTTGCTGACGTTGTGTGACAAATAAAAGTACAGCGCAATAGATGAACACCGCCTTGCCGTAATACGAATATGAAGAACTTTCAGTTTCCTTGCATAGTAGCTGCAAACTCCCACACATTTAGTCGATGACTCTCGGCGGTCTTTTTTTCATACGCACTTTTGCAGCCTGCACCAGTGTAGGTTCTATATCTGGTATGCCCGTCAAGAACTGCTCACACTGTTCTCGAGTTTCCTTTATTATTTTTAGAAACTATTTAATGAGCCTAGTGTACTTTCATCATCGAATGTTGTTAAGAGCATGTTTCCACAGTTTACTTTGACGCACTAAATACCAGCGTTCAGACTATGTAGATCATGGTAATTCGAATTTAGGCATACATGTTGGTGTTCGATACCTCAATGCTGACTTAGACACTGATGAAACCTGCAATGTGTTTGACTACTGCGACAGACCGCGGTTTTGGACACATGGGATACAGCGCTACTGTGCTAGGTTCACGTGTGAAACAGGATCGCTGAAGATGAAGCCGGGCAAAATATTATACATTCAAGTTTATGACTTGCCTGACTGGTGTTGTACGTCCGTTGTCTACGAATCAGTCTCCAAAGAATTCACATCATTTAGATTGATTAGTTT